ATCCCATTGTGTGAACACACCGCAGGACACCACGCCCCCTCACACTGCGTGGTGTTGGCTTAGGTCCTGGCTTATTTTGTGCATATCTGTTGGTGCTCTCTCTCCAGCTGACTCTTACAGTGCAAAAAGGTGGGCACAGTGTGCTCACGATCTCTCGTTTATTTTAAAGAAAAGGTAGCAATCAGAATTTTTATGTGAAAATAACTGAGGGGTCAATTTAAAGTTTTAAGAAATACTTGGCAGGCCAACAAAAAGCCTGTCTGCAGGCCATTCTTTCTGAGCCTCCCATTGAAGATTTCTGGATTAGGTCATTCAGGTTGAGAATTTCTCATCTGGATCTAGAAGTCAAATGGCTGAGAGGATGCTTAGAAAATCAACTTTTCCCATGAAAGAGAGGCAAACAAGAAACCACTGAGGTAGAAATTTGAATAGGGTTTGGGGTTGGGGTAAGCAGTGAGGTAAATCGAAATCATTTAGCACAATTTGTTGTAGTGCATGGAAATTATAGTGAAACGTTCTTTTCACACCAAAAGTTTGGAAATAAGGGAAAAGATTATCTTCAGGGAGCTAAACTTTTAAAAAAGGAATCATCTAGGGGCTGGCCTGGTGGTGTAGTTGTTAAGTTCACGCGCTCTGCTTTGGTGGCGCGGGGATCACCAGTTCCGATCCTGGGCACTGACCTACACACTGCTCATCAAGCCATGCTGAGGCAGGCGTCCCACATATAAAGTAGAGGAAGATGGGCACAGGTGTTAGCTCAGGGCCAATCTTCCTCCGCAAAAAGGAGGATTGGCAGCAGATGTTAGCTCAGGGTTAATCTTCCTCAAAAAATAAAATAAAAAAGGCATCATTTACACTTTCAGATATTTAATGAATCCAATAGAGAAATGCATTGTCTTAAAGAGAATAAATGGCTCCCAGGCCAACAGGATTTGACTCTAATTTGATTGAATGAGTTAATATGTTTAAAGGAGGCATGTCACTCAAGATGGGAGATGGTCAGAGAAGATTCCAGAGCCCATTTTAAGCACTATGCTTGTGTATGATTCCATTGGTGGGATGATCTTGACTGTGGAGATGGTGCCTTTGGGGAGAGAACAAACTCTTAATACTTACTTGTATGTTTATCGGGTTGGTGTGACAGTTACATATAACTCCCGTTCTCATTCCACCTCAGTCTCTGAGACCTGGTTGACTTGAGTCTTCCCTGTGAGACGTGGTCTGCCTCCAGTCTCTGGGGCTCAAGGCTGAGAGCCACGCGCAGGACTTGGTGAGCCCCCAGGTGATGAAAGCACCCCAGGAAGCTTCTTAGAGTCAGCCACTGCCCTGCTCTTGTTGTCCCCTCACCTGCATTTCCAGGTGCCCGTGTCTTCACACATCTCCCTCACTGAGTGCTTCCCTAGTGTCAGACCCTAAGGTAAAGCACTGAGCATAAATTCTGGAAGATCAGCCTTGATTCAGCCTTATGAACCCTTTAGGGCAAGGTCTTATCTAGACTCTGGGAACCTCCTGAATCTCTGTGGAGAAGTTTATGTGTATGCGTCTCTGTTTATTTTTCTGAGGAGAGGGTCTGTAGACTCTTAAGCGGTTCTGTCGGCTGAGGTGGTTTAAACCATTGCTTTGGGGAGAACAGTTGGACTTAAGTACAGAGACTCTGCAGGGGAGAAGGCCTGGACACCTGGAAGCCAAAGTTTGCGCCCTTAGGCATGCAAAAGATCTAGATGCCCAAGGACACAGGGAGGAGAACAATCTGTGGGTAGGAGGGGGAGAAAGGAAGGGACAGTGTGCGATTCTGCAGCGCACGTAGACTGCTGTGAGTGTAATATTCTTTTGACATTTTCCCGATATTCTTTTTTTCGCTATTTGATTCCTTTTTGTGGGACAGAAGGGCAGGTGGAACGCAGGGTAGCAGGGACAGTTCCCTCAAGCATGCTCGGAGACATGGAAGGCACTCCACAATGTGGAAAGTAAATTGCTGCCGGGTGATGAGAAAAAGTGCCATGATAATTTTGGCAATTTTAAACCTCAATATCTATTAACAATCCCTGCAATGCAATTCACTTCAAGTCATGTAATTCAACTCACTTCAACAAGCAATAATTGAACACCCCTTGTCCATTTTACTCTCACCTTTCTACTGAAAGTTTGACAATGGATTATGGGTCATGAGCTACTAACCGGGGCTGTAGCGTCCACAGGACTGAGCACAGGTAGGCTTTCAGAGGAACGCTCTGGTGTAACTAGCGGAGTAGTCACCTGGCTTGGCCCGGTTGCTTCTGGTCTACCTGTGCTGTTCCGGTGTTATTATCAATAGCACCCCATTCAGATGACAATTTATAGTCACGCCTTTGTATAACATTTTCATTGCTCTAACGTTGTTCACTCGTCTCTGTTTATGTCTCTCTTTCTGTTAAACTAGTGAGCTTCTTGAGACTAGAGACATTGCTGTATTCATCTCTGTGGCTAGTACATGCCCTCTATTTGGTGGGTACAAAAAACATTTGGCAAAATAACAGAAGGAAAGAAGAACCTCAGAGCAGAAACGGCCAGCTCACATGATCTTCTGTTTGCTGCAAAGGTCTAGGCTGGAGGCCCAGTTTTGAGTCACTTATGAGCTTTGTGCCTTGGGAAACTTTATTTAATCTTTTTTAACTAAATGGGGGAGTGTGTGTAAAGTGCTTGGTGAAGCGCTTTTAAGCGCTCAGTAAATGTTAGCTGCTATTATTGTTACCAAGTACTTGTTAGTAATAACTGCTACATATAACTTTCAACTTCAGTGTTCTTAGCTGGGAAACGAAGGTGATCATTCCTCCTTACTTGATTTTGGACACTTTGGGAACTACAGAGGGCTCTCATTGCATAGCCTGGAAAGAACGCATGGCAACAGGGAGGTCTGGGCTGCGGAATGAGCGTAACTCATGCATGTTACATGGGGGTTCAATGGCAATACAAAGATTCTTTTAAATATAATATTTTAAAATGCCAGTAAGATGCCTGGGTTGGAGGGTAGAAGTTGGTCTATCGCAAAGCATAGAAACATAAAAAGGCACGTGGGAAAAGATGGTGGGACGAACTCAGGACAGGTATGGAATTTTGGATGGGACCCTGCTCAGTGTGGGATCAACAATGCATTGCATCAGGCACAAGGAGGGAACAGGGCCTTTCCAGGCCTGGCGTCGGGAGAGCTTGAGCTTGGGACAGAGGAGTATTCACGTTAGGATAGACATTCTGCTCTGCAAATTCAGTCAGAAGCTTGTTATTTCCGAGTTAATGTGAACACTTTATCAAAGGCGTGTCAGATGTGGACAATACCTGAGGAAGCCTTTCAGCACCTTGATGTGCTGCTGATAGAGGAAGGAACCTAGCAATTACTCAAGAGCGGCTTCTGTGTGGGATCACAGAAACTTTCCTGATAGTGTAATCTTCATCAGGTTGCTGGATTTCAAGTGGCATGTTCCAGCTCCCTTGTTATCCTAACAGGCAGCTCTAACAAGAGCAGGACTATCGACATGAGGAATTCCTAGATCTCAATGCCAATCAACCAGGGGGTAGAATTTCAGGTCTGTGTTCTAGACCTGAACATTCGTTTACAGGGGAAACAGTAAAATAGTAGTAGTAGTAGTAACAGTAGCAGCAGCAGCAATACTACTACTAGTAGCAATACCACTAGTAGTTATTACTACTAGTAGTAGCAATAGTAGTAACAGTAGTAGCAGTAGCAATAGTAGTAACAGTAGTAGTAGTAGTAGTAACGATAGCAGCAATAGCAGCAGTAGTAGTAGTAAACGCATACACAGCACTTACACATTTTAACTCGTTTAAACTTCACAGCAACCCTGTGAAGTGAGTACTATCATCACCCCCATTTTATGGATGACAAACTGAGGAATAAAGAGGTTAAATAACTTGCTCAAGGTCACACTCAGTAAGTGGCAGAGCTGAGCTTTGAACCCAAAGTGTCTTAGTGCAGAGAATGTGCTTTTAACCAGGGCTCTCTACTTCCTCTCAATTTTAGCCGTTGTAACCAGATACCTGTGGTTTACAGCCATGTCCCTGTGGCTTTGTGGGAGACAGTTGTGGGACTGGGCCGTACACTTCAGGGGTAGCTTTCCCTTGTGTCCCAGGCTTTCCTTGGAAGGAAGAAGGTTGTCCAGATGATAAATTTAGTAGAGGTAAGACTCTTGTCTTGTTCGTATTTGTATCCTCCAGGGTCTCGTATCCCCTCAGGGCACACAGCAGGTGCGCAGTGAACATGAGTTGAAATAAACCAAATGGTCTCTATGCTTTTTCCCCCTTGACGTGAAATTCTTTTTGTTACTGAACAAGAGAAGAGATGGGAATGCATAGCTCTACCCTAAACTCCCAAAGGCAGGCGGACATTTGGTTGTTCATCCTCTTGTGGTCAAACACTTTCACCAAATCCTGACTCCAAACTCAAGGCCTGGTTCTCGTCCCTCTTGCCCACAAGGCTGCTGGTCCCAGCCAAGGGAATCATTGGTCGCTGCTGTCATTTGGTCCTCCCGTCATGTGGCTCATCATCATGTCCGTGAAGGCTGTGGATCGAGCTCAAGATTTGGAGGCTGACACACCTGAGTTTCAATCTGGTAGCAGAACTTCCTAGCTGTGTGGCTTTGGACAAGTCATTCCGTTCAGCCTCTCTGAGCTCAGTCCCATCATTTAGGAAATGAGGGTAATATTATCCTATTCAGGGCGTGCTTGTGAGACTTAAACAGGATAACGTATCACCCAGCATAGTGCTTGGCACAGGGTGGCTTGGTGCTCAAATTGTAGAAACTAAATTTTCCAGTTAGATTGCCACTTCTTGGAGGCCTGGGATCACGTCTTATACTTTGTCAGGGACCCTTCTCTACTCTCTCAACCTCTCACCCTGCTCAACTTCTGTACTCTCTGGCCCTAGTTTCATCACCAAAATCTCAATTTGTTCATTTGCTATTTGTTGTGCTTAACCAACATTCAGGGTTGTTTTGGTTCTGCCCCAGGAGATATTTGGCTACCGGACTCATGGCTGCCGGAAAACCCTCTGCCTTGCTGGATCTATCTTCTCCTTTGGGATCCTCCCCTTGGTGTTTTACTGGAGACCTGCTTGGTACGTGTGGGCAAATTGCATCCCGTGTTCCTTGCAGGAAGCAGACGTCGTGTTGCTCAGGACAACAGTAAGTGTGTACCTGGTTTTGTACCTGGTGGCCTTTTCTCCTGGACATCATGTTATGGGATGGCTGTGGGGAGACGTGCACAAGGCAGGTGGCAGGTGGAGGCTCCAGTCTCAGCTTCCGTCACAGCCTTGCCTTTATTGACCAAGAATTCAATAATTTGTGTATGATGGGATTTGATTAAGAAGAGCTATTTTACAGGGTATTCCTTTAAAAATTTTGAGTTTTGTGAATAATAGAGCAGGGAATATCCATGTTAATAGCTAAAAATAACAGGTAGTGTGAAGTAGTTAAGTCGGGCTTCAGACTACAGCATTCACTCTGACCCTTCCCCTGCATCCTGACATATCCATGCCTATGCCAGCCCCCCTCCGCTGGAGTGACACTGGAGGAAGAGATGGGGAAAGGTGAGGGAGGAGACGGAGAGCACCCCTCTGAGGAGGATGCTGTCTTCCCCTACTCATTTGAGAGAGCCATGGTTATTGATTGGAGTGCATTGCATCCAGTTATGCTAGAGTAAAAAATGCAGCCATCTGATCCCCGAGGTCATCGCCTCTCTCTATTAATACAAAGTCCTGGCGTTAGGTGAGTTTCCATGATTTTGCTCCAGTACACTTCCTCCTAGCGCTCATTACACTTAGGCAGTGTGCTTCGGTCCTGCGGGACTGTCAGCTCCACAAGGGAAGGGACATTTCTGACTTGTTAATGGCTGCATCCTCTGTTCCTGCATGCGGCAGGGAGCCCATAAATGTATGGCGGCTGACAGGCTGAAGTGGATGTTCCTATTGATGAGAGTCAAAGTGCAGTCTCACAGAGGACTCTTTTCTGGCTGACTTTTACTGAGTGTTTCTGGCAATGCATCAACCCACATGACCCAGAATGACAACCAAATTCTTGATAAATCAGCCACTTTTGGGCTGTTAGCTTCTTTTTATATAGAGCAATCTCTCTTGATAAGCATTCTATTCAATACAGCCAGAAGGGCACATAGCAACAAGTCCTATAACTGGCCAAAATAAAAAAAAAATCCAGGGGCCTGCCTGGTGGGGCAGTGGTTAAATTTGGCACTCTCTGCTTTGGCGGCCTTGGTCCATGGGTTTGGATCCTGGACGCAGACTTACACAACTCGTCAGCCATGCTGTGGCAGTGACACACATACAAAGTGGAGGAGGATTGGCACAAATGTTAGCTCAGGGCTAATCTTCCTCAACAACAACAAGAAAATCCACATTTCAATCTAACAGAATTGGAGCTGGACCTCAGTGAAAATGGGAATTGGGTGAAGATTGTCTTTGTTGACTTGCTCCACTGGGGTCAGCCCCACCCTTTGTTTCTGGATCCTGATTGCTTCAAGAACCATCTGTTTTATGCTCCAGCTTAGCTGACATGATAGCTGAGGCACCTCCCCCAAAGTTCAACTATAATTTAATTCAAGATTCTTGGAGAAGAAACTTTAAGACTTTAAGAAGGCAAGATTATTGTGGAGTCAGAGCAGGTCACATCGGTGATGTTGGGCTGGGAGCCCCACTCCACTGCCGCCTCACTCCATGAAGTCTCACAGAATATCCGTGAGAGGAATGACTGGTGCTCACCAAGGAGCATTTCCTCATTTGATGGATGAGGAAATGGGGCCTGGAGAGGAGGCATAGTGGCCTGACCAAGACTAAGTCCCATGTCTCCTAGCTCCTAGGGCACAGCTGTTTTCATGGATTGTACTTAGACCAATGGTTCCTGAATTTCAGCCAGTATCAGAATCATCTGGAGGGCTAATTAATGCAGATTGCTGGGTCCTACCCCCAGAGTTTCTAGTTCATTAGATTTGGATTGGGGCCCAAGAATTTGAATTTTTAACAAGTTCTCAGATGATCCTAAGGCTTCTGGTAAGGGACCATATTTTATAAAACACTGCTGTCGATAGTCATCAATCCCATTTATGAGCTCACGTGGTCCTTGGGAGAGGAATAGAGGCCTGGGCATTTGCTTTATGGTTCAGCCAATATACATTTATATAGTCTCAAGGGAAATGACCCAGATTTAGCAAAGTGTTTGAAGTGGTCCTCTCACATACAACCTGAGTGTCTTGCTGGAGCAGGGGTAAAGAGAGGTTGTTTTCTGGGGCTCAGAGTGGGAACATAAGAACTTATGGAAGACCACATCTTTGGGATCCTTTCATAGATCAACCCCCTCCACGGGAACTTGAGGATCTATGAGATCACTATTTTCCGGCTTAAAAGTGGGATTTAGGAAAGTACTTAACTCCATGCTGCAGGTGCTTCCATTTCCTCCAAATAGTCCTTGGGGAGTATGCTTTTGCTGCAGCAGAAACGTCAGAAAGAGAAAGGCTTTCTGCCTTTCAGAGTGCATCACCAGACTCCTCAGATCTGAGGACATCTGGCTGGCTGAGCTGTGCTCTCTGAGGTTGCTGGCAGAGTCAAGGCACAGATAGAGCTAAGAGGCAATGAGCAAGAAAATGGCAAAGGAAGGGAGGAAAATGAAAGTAATGGAAAAGAAAGTAGATAAAGGGAAATGAAAAGGAAGACAAGAGAAAGAAAGATCAAATAAGTGTGAATGAAGTCAAAAAGTATCAACCAACAAGGAGATGGTGCATTTTGGGATTCGGAGTCAAAAGTTTTGACCTCTAGTCCTAGCACCTTAGGTGTGTTGCACTTTAGGTTTGTTACCTAATCTTTCAGGACCTCGATTTCTCCGCTTGTAAAATGGGCCTAGTAAAAGTATTTGTTCTTTCTTGGGCTGGTGTGAGGATGAAGTGAGATTATGTACGTAAAAGCCATTCGCAAACTGTAAAATGCGTTATCAAAGACCATTTTGATAGTGTATGTGTGTGGTATTGCTCAGGCAACTCCACTAGCTTGCTATACGGAAGGACTCACTGTAGACCAGATGCACTGTACGTGAGCGCCCCACTCATCTGCATGCTTATCGTCCTCTCCTTATCGGCCAGGAGGACGGGCATTCCCTTTCAGGACAGGTGACACGGGGAAGGCATCCTGTGGCCGGGAAACTCCAACACTCATCCATACTCAAGTCACCCCTCCTAAATGCCCATGGTCAGCTTTGCAACTGGACATATACTGGAAACATTCAAAAAGCCGTTGGTGCCGCAGGGAGCTGCTTTCCATCATCTGACCTCTTTGAAAGTCTGTTAAGCCCCTTTCCCATTTCACTGCCCTTCACGACTAATCAGAGCTGTCGAAACCAGCTTAAATGTTGCCTTTTTCATCTTGATTTCAACTTTAATTTTTAATTACCTGCTCTTGTGTGTCATTTTATATGGATTTGCTATGCCAGAGTCTCTCCAAATAAATGAGGTTCTGAATTAGTCGTTATGTAATTAGACAAGAGCTCAATTATTTCAAACACTCTTACTATCCGAGCCTTAGAGAAAAATAAGCTTTGGACACCAATAGTTTAAAAGTCTGCTGCTAGGTTATTTGCATTAAAATGACATCTTTAAAAAGATTTTATTGGAATTATATTATAATAGCTGGACTGTGAAGACTTTCCATTACAGAGGACGGGATGACTCCCACTTGAAATGTGTTGTCTATCTGTTTCTCATGTTATTAAAAAATCAGTACTTGGTATTTATCATCAATCCCACACTGGTAAAATTCCAGATCATTATCACAGATACTGATTAGGTCGTCACTTCTTAACATTTTTAAAAAAAGGCGACGACGTACTGACTGCAAGTGTTTAGCACTTAGTTTATTTTCAGTTCTTCTCTTATTAAGCGTCTCGAAGAGTGAGATCTTTCCAAAAGAGAAGAGTAATTACACTCTTATTTTATAATTTTAAAAGTGGCATTTTATTCATTATTCATCTACTTCCAAATTGGAAGCAATATCTGTATGGAAGCCACATTTCTATGCAAATGACACGATTTACATTCATTGGCATTTTGAATTCAGATGCTCCCGATGATTTCCCTCGTTTTCATCTTTATTATAGTTACAAATGCAGTTTTTCCTTCACTGTCATTGTATGTCACATGTTGTCAAAGACCCACAATGTGCAGAGGAGAACTTTGTGATGAGTGGCTTTCAGGCCTGACTCAGGGCATTTCGTGTCAATGTTTTAAAGGGGAGCAGCTTTCCTTCAGTCTCACCTAAAGATGTCAGCGTTAGGGGCTTTAGTTTGAAAACTTAGAAATTCCACAAATCAGCCCAGCAAATGGCACCTCAAGTCCACGAGCTCGCCAGGGTACTCATCAGCCACCACTATTTGTGCTCATGTTTCCTGGATCCCTTACTCATCTTCTTCCTCCTCCTCCCCAACCTGGTCTCTCCACACCCAGGCTCCCCACATCAACACGATTTTCTAAGGGACTCAGACACTTTGTTTTGTCTATGCTTTTACTCATAAAATTTCTTCTGATATTCCCTATCCTCTCCATTCATTCATTCATTTGTTTATTCATTCAATAAATATTTACAGAGCACCAATCATGTACCAGACGTTGTTATAGGCACTGGGAATACAGCTATGAACAAACAGAAATTCCTGTTCTTACAAAGTGACGTTCTGGTGAGGAGTCACCTGATACACACACACACACACACACGCATGCACACACATGCGCAGACTCGCCCACTTCTCTAGAGAGTAAATACAGAAAGCAGCTGTCCTCCCTCTGCTTATTAAAGCCGGCCCGGTGGTGCAGCAAAGTTCGCACGTTCTGCTTCAGCGGCCTGGGGTTCGCCGGTTCGGATCCTGGGTGTGCACATGGCACTGGTTGGCAAGCCATGCTGTGGCAGGCATCCCACGTATAAAGTAGGGGAAGATGGGCACGGATGTGAGCTCAGGGCCAATCTTCCTCAGCAAAAAGAGGAGGATTGGCAGCAGATGTTAGCTCAGGGCTAATCTTCCTCAAAAATAAATAAAGAAAAAACACCCCTACTTACTCCTCAGCCGTATACCACTTCTCTATCAAGTCATTTTTTTTCTTTCTTTTTCTCCCTAAATCCCCCCAGTACACAGTT